CCAAATACTCATACTACATTTTCCAGATACTGTTATTATACTCATTTTATCGGAGAAGAATCTCAGGCTCAGTTATGGTCAGAACAAGATGTGTGGTTTCATAACCCATGCTCTGAACATAGTGCAGGTACTTTTATAATGCAGAACAATTAACAACCTAAAATGGTGATATATTTGCATAATTCTTGATAAAAATTTTTCACCATAGGTCTTTATTTGATAGTTCAGTGCAAGCTCAAATAGCTTGTGTAGGTATTCATTTTTTCTCACACATAGTTTTACGGAGATTCTGAACACCTCAGTTAAAGAAACAACCTTCTTAATGTTCATTCATTCATTTTGGAATATTCTGGGTAAACTTACAAAAGCCTTTGGCCTTTAGTATGTTTTTCTAGTCTTTAACACTTTGTGCTGGTTAGAATGCACAAGGTGGTGGTATTGTTGTTTAACCATCTAGGCTTACAGGGAGGGAGGGTGCAGAAAGGCACTTCATGCTTGGCTTTCACTCCTGTCCAGGAGGTGATATTTGGCATTTAATCTAGTGACAGTATTATCATTATAATCCTCGTAAACCTGCACATACTCTGAAAATTTATTGTCACTGTCAAGTTGCTTACTTTTTTCTACAAATGGTAAGACACTTTGAGATTTTTGTGGTTAAGAAAATTACCTTTAAACTTAAGTTTGAATAATGCTTTTATCACTTGCTAGCTGTGTACAAAAATTATTTAATCTCTGAACCTCTGTCTCTTCATCTGTTAAAATTAATAATATTTAACAGTATATTTTTGTCAACTCCAGTGAAACAGTGTAAATGAAAACAGCGTGAAAACTAGAAACTAATGGACATTTTAGGTAGCTGGAATCCTGTCAGGGTTTTTAGAGCAGGATAATGACATGATACATCTGTTTAGGTTGATATGATGTTGGATCTGAGTGGAAGTGGGGGAGGGGTGGAACTAGAGGAAGGGAGAGTAGAAGGGGCCAAGATCATAGGTGAGGTGACATTGAGAGTGGAGATGAAAATGGAATCAGTCATTTTGGAGGGAAATATAAATATTTCATGATGAGAAAGGAGAAGGAACCTCTTGCCTCCCAGATTAATTTCCAACAAATATTTGCCGATTATTTTCCACACTCTGTCCTAGGCATTTGTTATATACAGGCACAGACCTGTAAGGACCTCTAGGAATTGATGGTATTTGGGTCCAGGTAGGATGTTGCCTGCATTCATGAACATAGAGAATTTGGGAGCAAGTGCTGGTTTGGGTATTAAGTCAACCTATTTACCTGTAAGCAAGTTGAGTTCTGTGCCACAGCCATGGGTACAAAATACTGCCATATAATTTTTACGTGGTCCTCATGAAATTTGTTTATTTAGGATCACAGACACCTGATTGTAAAGTTTCATTAGTGTTTAGAAAAATGATAATCTTAGGTGTTTGGAAAGATTATATTTTCCTCCTAATACTGCTAAGTATTTTAGTATTTAAAAAAAAACACTGTAATGAAACTTTTGGCTTTCAGATAATTTGCATTCAGTCTTACTTGGTGCTATTTCTGGGAGAAAAACATTTCTGAATCTTATGTACATAAATTTGAGTACTCGTTACAGGCTTGTCAGTTCTAGTTATTGTCACTGTTAAAACATAGGCTTTAAATAAAATTTGGCTGTAAACTGGCATAATGGATTTCTCAATTTTACAGCAGTGGTTCTCAAACTTCAGGTTGCTTCAGAATCATCTGGAGAGCTTGTTAAAACACAGTTGCTGGGATGTTTCTGATTCAGTAGGTCTGAGGTGGGGCTAAAAATTTGCATTTCCAGAAAGGTGATGATGCTTATATTAAGAACTGCCTGTTATATCATAAGGAATAAGATTATCCTAAGAAACCACAATTTAGGTTCTAAAAGTACTTTAAAAAATAGATTGGTAAAAATTATATGATGCCCAAGAAATAAATTTATTTTCATAAACATGCATCTCAAATCCAAATCCTCGTAGGGTGTGATAAATATAAAATTTTTATTACTGTCTTTCCTAAAAGTTATTATTCTTATTTGTTTAATTAGTAACAGGACAAATTAGAAAAATACCTTTAAAAATACATTAAAGATACTATATTCTCTATTCACAACAAATAGTTGACTATTTAGAGGTTTTGATACCTCTAAATATGTAATTCATTTACCCAGCACTTTTCCTTGATGTTAAAAATCAGAGTTCAATTTTTAAAAAATATAATACCTGTAGTGAAAACTCAACGCATTCATTGAAAGGTGGTTGGTTTTGTTTTCCACTGTCTTCTCTTCTCCCATCAGCCCCGTAGTTCCTGAATTTCAAAACCTGAAACTCTTGGAATATCAGATGTCAAATGTGATGATATGGTTAATGTAATATGTCAGCCCAAATCAGTTTCAGTAATTTTTTTTAAAATCTTATATTTTTTAGCTAATGGGAATGACAACAAGAAATTTAAAGGAGATAGACCTCCCTGTTCGCCTTCCCGTGTTCTCCATCTTCGCAAAATTCCAAGTGATGTCACCGAAGCAGAGGTCATATCATTAGGTCTACCATTTGGCAAAGTAACTAATCTTTTGATGTTGAAAGGAAAAAGCCAGGTATGTAAGTTTTAAAGATTGACCCACAGTTATTATCTCTGAGTGTTAGTGATAAAATGATTTTTAGGGGAATTACCTGGCAGTCCAGTGGTTAGGACTCCATAGTTTCACTGCCAGGGGTGCAGGTTCAATCCCTGGTGGGGGAACTAAGATCCCACAAGCTGCAAGGTGTGGCCAAAAAAAAAAAAGATTTTATTTTCTTGAAATTTTTTTTTTTCCCTAAATTTCATTCTATTTAAATAGTTTTTAAAATAGAACTTTTTAATGACAGGAAGCAGCAAACAAAAATGTTAATATAGGAAACAGGATTATCTCTTATTCATTGACTTGTTAACAAACATATTTTATATTCTTAATTACAAAATGGTTTATGAAAATATCCTGTGATTATCAGAAGAGATTGGATTGATTACCATCAGAGATTGGATAATGATGTCTGATTCAGACTCCTCTATCTTTAGTAAACTATTTAACATCCCTGTTTAATGCAGATGAGGTTATTAAGAACTGGAGAAATTAAATAATATGTCTTAGTATTCAGCCCTTGTTGTGTTTACACATTTTTCTTGCATCTTTTGGAGATAGTGCATGCACTTGGATCTTTTTATCACAGATGCCACTATTGAGAATAGTATGGTTTGCACGGTTTGAAAGAGCCAGCATGACCGTGTCTAATGGCTGTGAAATGTCTAACTGCCATGTGTTATGTACATTATTGTGTTTCATATAGTGTATCCTATGTTTTATGTCAAATAGCTCTGAGAGGCAGCAGGCAATGTCACACTTTCCTTTGTTTCTGCAGTTGGTTCTAGGTTTATATTTATCTGTAGTGCTAATTGACTGTTATGTTAATTGCTTGTCTTTTGATCATAAATCCTGTTTAGAAAATATCTTGTTAGTAATTACTTCAGGAGATTCTGATGTGAGTCACTGGTAGTACTTGTAAGCATAATCTTTCCCATGGTTCTTGTAGGTGGAGTGTTGAGGACAGAGTAGGGGTTATTTTCACCAGCCTTTCTGTGGGTAGTGACTTTTGGTTTTCTCTCCACCCTACATTATGAAAATTGATCCCTTTGGATGCTTTAGGAAAACATAAATAATTCTTTTACTGGACTCCATGTGGAAAAATTTATTTTTACATATGGATTATTAGGTTGTATATACATTTAGGAAAAAATTCCTGTGATAAGAATCATATTCCAAAGACATTGTTCAGCTTTTCCTTTGTGTGACTGATGTTAGACATTGCAGGGGTTTAGAAACATTTAGAAAGGAGTTTGCAGGAAGAGACTCTCCCCATATAATGAATATTATTAGAATACAGTTTACAAATTCTTTGTTGAAAAGATGATTAAAAACCAGATAGTTAGGAAATATTGCCATAGCTATTTTTGTTACCTTGATCATTTTTATCCACTTCTCTTAGAAATATTAGAAAAAGTGTATTATTGATACAATTGGATAGCAACTTTAAAGTGTGTTGTGGACATCTGTACCTTTTAGATAGTATAAATGACTCGAAGTCTGTTCTATTCGCAAAGATAGTGATTTGGATCAGGGGTTCTTCCTGCATTTTAAATTTGAGATGTTCTTACAGGTAGTTCTGAGGGCTCAGAATGCTTAGTAGATGTCTATATTTTATCTTCTTAACCATTAAGATAGGGTGATAAAACCTGCCACCTTAAAGGTCTGTAAGTATCCTATTCCTGTCATAAGTTAATGGGAGTCCTGACAGCTAGGAGAAGCTTTATACAGAATAAGACATAAATACCAAGGAGCTTCTTCCATCTCAGTTCTTCTTGTGTTAGTCTTCAAATAGGTAATATTAGTAGTGATTACCAATATCCAAAAAAGGTCACTTGAATGACCCAAAGCAATATTGACTTAATGTAAGAAGTTCTCCCATTTCCCTAATTTGTATAATGAGGCTTTGCACCTGAATGCTCTAATTGTATTCATAAATGGCTGTTTTATAAAAAGGTAGAGAAGAGCAAATCATTATGCCTCATCTTTGTTTGAGAATTTTTTAGGAAGAAACTGAAAGCTACTACTATTTATAGTAATGCACACGTTTATTTTTGCCTTTTTAATTATTTCTAGATTTTAGAAGAAACAGAAATAAGAAGAAAACCAAAAACCACATAAAATCATTTAATCAACTGGCCATTTCCCAATCCCAGATCATTTATTGAACCCAACTTTTTTCGATTGTGTTTTCAGTTACTGTCAATGATACACTTTGAAACAAGTCTTTTCATCCCCTTGGGGGCAATGTGATTTCTCTTGAGAATACTGAGTTTAGAGCAAGCTGGAATGACAAAGTAGTTCTTAGCTGCCTTTCAAAAACATGAGCTTTCACTTTACTTTGTGTTTATTGCAGGCTTTCTTAGAAATGGCTTCTGAGGAAGCTGCTGTTACTATGGTGAATTATTACACTCCTGTTACTCCTCACCTTCGAAGCCAGCCTGTTTTTATTCAGTATTCCAATCACAGAGAACTTAAGACTGACAATCTACCTAATCAAGCTGTAAGTATTAAAGGCATTTCTAAAAATAGTTACAAGAACACATGATATAATAACTTAAATTTAATTTTCTGTTTTTCAGAGGAAAAAAAATCATGTGTTTTCTTCATCTTAGAATGCTCTACTGGTAAAGATTGTTTATGTAAATTCTTACCCAAAGACTTAAGAATAAGAAAGCACTGCCATTTGGAAGTTAAGTTTGAAGATATGGTGTTAGAAATGGCAGACATTTAGTTTTCCCTTGAAACTGTTTTCATAAGTGGAAAAAAACATACGTTGTTATGTCTCTCTTAAAAATCTCAGATCTGAAAGGAACTGTAGAAGTCAATCCTTTTCTTTTTACAGAACATGTAACATTTGTGTGTTTAGAAGTCAATCCCTTCTTTTTACAGAATATGTAACAAAGGCATTGAGAAGTTGAGTGATGCTTTTATTGTGATGTTAAGTAACTGAACTTAAGATGTTAATAAGAATTTGTATAGATATGTTCATTAAATGAATTTTGACTCTCCAAGGTGAATGTGGAATATAGAATATGAACATTTCTTACCTAATTTTCGAGTTTTTATTTTGATATAATTCATGTTCAAACTTCTGTGTCTCTCCAGGTTGATTTTTAAGTAGCTAAAATAGTAATTTGAAGTAACTTCAGGGTAGGAAAAATTTATCCACAAAGCAAGTACATTTTAAGAAAGAGGTTTTTTAAATTATGTTGAGAGCAATTTGGCCATGATACTCTTGCTCTAGGCAGAAGAACTCGAGCTCTTTGACTCTGTGTTGAAAGTCATTATAATGCAAGCTGCTGAACTTATAGTTTTCCACATTTTTAGAAATAGTGACATTTCCTGCACGCAATCATTAACTTATCTAAGAGATATTAATGGCCTATAATAAACTATCTAAACTTAAGAGTAAATGAAATGTTAGATATTTTTAAATAGTATAGTTTTTTTTAATGAAAAATTGCCTTGTAAATAGGATACATGCTCATGGTAAAACATTCAAACAATCCAGAAAAATAAAAAATAAAACAATCCAGTTACCCAGATATAACTAATTAACTAACATTTTGCTAACATTTTACTGTGTACCCCTTCTCTATTCAGGTTATTGTCTATGTATATAATTTTATACCAATGGAATCCTAATAGTTTGAAAACTACTGAAAACTATTTTTTCTCTACAATATGTCAGGGATGTTGTTTCATGACAACAAATATAGAATTACTTCATACTTTTTATTTATTTATTTTTTACTTCATAATTTTTAAATGACTGTATAATACTCTCTTCAAAAGGGCAGCCATAATTTATCCCGTTTCTTTTCTTTTTTTAACATCTTTATTGAAATATAATTGCTTTACAATGTTGTGTTAGTTTCTGCTGTATAACAAAGTGAATCAGATATATGTATACACATATCCCCATATCCCCTCCCTCTTGCATCTCCCTCCCACCCTCCCTATCCCACCCCTCTAGGTGGTCACAGAGCACTGAGCTGATCTCCCTGTCCTGTGCTATCCAGTTTCTTGTTAGATTGAGATTGTTTGCCATGTTATGCTCTTACAAATAGTACTACAGCAGCATTCTTACATATCTTGGCACACATGCAGCATTATCTTATTTATGTTTCTGGCCACAAAATTGCTGGGACTAAGCCTATGCATGTTTTATGTTTCAATATATGTTGCCTGATTGCTTTCTCTAAAGCTTATTTGCTGATTTAGGGTGCCACTGATAATATATGAGCAAGCAGTTTTCCTGTCCATCTGTGTTAATATGCTAGTTAACAAATTGTATCTTATTGTTAACTCTCTTTTATTTAATAACTTGTGAAGTATTTATAGTGATTTCTGTTAATGCAGTTTTTCCCCGATTTTTTCAATTGTGGTAAAATATATATAACGTAAAATTTACCACTTTAACCATTTTTAAGTGCATGGTTCAGTGGCATTAAGTACATTTTCATTGTGCAACCCATCACCACCATCCATCTCTAGAACTTTTTCATCTTCCCAAACTGAAACTCCATACCTGTTATACACTTATTCCTCATTTCCCCTACCCCCACCCTGGCAGCCACCATTCTATATACTTTCTGTCTCGAATTTTGTCTGCTAATGCAATTTTTTAAATATTTTTATATAATAGTCAAATCTCTGAAGTTGTATTATGGTCTCTGACATGAGTACCATACTCATAAAAACCCAGTATAGCAAGATTAAAAACATTTTTTTTACCTATGTTTTCTTATACTTTCATGTTTTGGTTGTTTTTATTTGTAGTGTTTAAATCTTTGTTTTGTTAAGAATATTTTGTGGGTGGAGAGTGAGGCTTTGGTCTTTCTCTTACTCCCAGTGACCAGTTTCTCTTTTGTTGTAGTTGAATAACCCATTTATCAATATTATCCACTCATGGGACTTCCCTGGCAGGCCAGTGGTTAAGACTTTGCCTTCTAATGCAAGGGGTGTGGGTTCGATCCCTGGTCGGGGAGCTAAGATCCCACATGCCTCGTGCCAAAAAACATAAAACAGAAGCACTATTGTAACAAATTCAATGAAGACTTTTTAAAAAATGATCCACATCAAAAAAAAATCTTAAAAAATATGTATATATCCACTCTTGTGAAACTTGTCTTTTGTCATGGTCTAGTTTTCCATACACAGACTATGCATATTTACAACCCGCATATATACACTTGTTAGACACGACTACACATTCTGCTTGCATGACCCCCATCTACCCTCATGTGTGTGTGGCTCACATGGTATGCAGTCCATGTCTAATATGGACTACCTTTTGGATTCTGTTCTGTTCCATTCCTAATTCAGTGTCCCTAAGGCTTAATATGTTGTAGGGCAAGGCCCTATTCTTTACCCTCTCTTTTTAGAAATTAAATGGATAATATGTTTTGTTTATTTCTCAGGATGTATTAGAATTATTTTGATAACTCCTAACCCCAAAAAACACAGTTAGAATTGGGTTGATTTTATAGATTTATTTGTAGATAATTAACATGTCTATATTGCTAACTGATCCTTCTGAGGAGGAAGTTATATTTTATTTCCTATCTTTCAGAAGAATTTTTAATTCTCCTTCATGTAAGTCATGCAGTTTTCACATTAGTGTTATTCCTAAATATGTTAAAGTCTTAAAGATGATATAAACAATTTAATAAAACTCTTAAAGACTGGATTATTCCAAAGGGAAACTGTGAGAAATCCCAGTTGCTTGGCAACCAAGGCCAGCCCAAATGACCTAGTTTATTCTTAGATAGCCTTGATTTCTTCCCAGTACCCTTTCCATTTTGTTACTTTTGTCCATTTTTTGCATTGGCGTTTGATAAAATAATATTTTTCTTTTATTCAGAGTCCTACACCAAAGCTGAAGTCAAAATTGAAGGTCCTGTTTGCATATATAAAATGTACCAGATGTTTTTTTATTCAGACAGCCCTCAGAAACTGATAAGTTACTGTTTCATTCTCTTCTCTTTGAATAGCAAGATATCCCAAAACATGCACATAACTTCTTTTCCAGCTTATGGACATACTTGGCAGAGGGTCAGGTGAATATCAAGTATCTTTGTCCCTTGGTTTAAGCTAAAATTATAGCTAAAAAATTTAGATCCTATTTTGAGGTACAGCATTTGAGGAGTGGTTGTATTAATATGATTCATTTTTGTATAGACAGTTTTTCTTGACCTTGTGGGTGGAAGTTTATAAATTTGCAAAGAGATGACCGTGGAAGGATTTTCCCTTAAAAAATTTCCCAAAATAATCATCCAACGGAACACTTAAGATCTGTGAATTTTGTTGTATATTCATTTCCATCTCAATTTTAAAAATGTTTTCTTCACATTATCCAGGCATGTTTAAATTTTACATGAAGTATATATACCTCCCCCACCTCAAAAAAATATTTGTTGATTTTTCCATCATACTACTGCTGTTTCCTTTACTACTAGTTAATGTAACCATTCCGGAGGGTTTGTTGCTGAAACATTTAAAACTATCCCATAATAAGAATTCTGCTGCCTCATAATGTTTAGTATCACATACACAGAAAATATGTCTTCTGTGTATCTGAAATATCCCTTCATGTTAAGAAGACATTTCTTTTTTTCCCCCTCACTTTTCTGTTGCCCTCAGTGGAAAGTATGCCTCCACTTTCATTTTTTTTTACTTCAATATTTTTGCCTAATTAAAAATTGAAACTGTAGAGTTACTTATTAAATAAATCTTTTTCTCAGACTTTTATTGTCAAAATAATTTTTTTGCATGCCTGCTATGCAGAGACTTTTGTACTCAATGCTCTGTGAAGTACTAATACAGAGTATATTGACAACTCTAGAATGATAAGGACAATATATACCATGGCTTCTCATGTTTCTCCACTGTGGTATCTTCTGTGCCAGAGAGGAAAGAGGGAAGGAAGAGAAACAACAACAGTAGCAACAATAACAGTAATATAGCAGCAGTAAACATGTATATAGAATTGTTTAATAAAAAGGATTGATAGAATGATTGATGGGTAATGAAGTAAAGTCAGTGAGGTTGGGAATTCCCTGACAGTCCAGTGGTTAGGACTCTGCACTTTCACTGCTGAGGGCCTAGGTTTAATCCCTGGTCGGTGAACTAAGATCCCACAAGCCGTGCAGCGCGGCCAAAAAAAAGTTAGTGAGGTTAAGTTTACTTTCAGTTATGCAGGTTTCATTTTGATAAGATTTAATCATCCTGATAGAAGAAGAAAAGGCACCATTATTCCACTGAGAGCCTCACTATGATGATTTTTCTTAGACATTATGAAGTTGTGATGTCCAGTGTGGTAGCTGCTAGCTAAATGTGGCTAAATTTAAATAAATACAAAAATAAAAAATTCAGTTCCTCAGTTGCACTAGGTACATTTGGAGTGCTCACTGGCCACTTGTGGTTAGTACTGTCATATTGCATACTGTAGATGTTGAACATTTCCATTATCACAGGAAATTCTGTTGGACAGCACTGTTGGTCTTCCATGTCTCTACTTAACCTTTCTTTTTTCTGTGTGTGTGCACGCAATACAGTTATAATAACTACTTTAATGTTCTTTTCTGCTAACTCTAATCCCTGTGTTAATTCTGAGTCCTTTTTGAATGACCTCCCAACATCATCATTGCCTATTTAAAGGCTCAAAGTGGAAATGTGAGCCAGTTTTCAAATTTGAAAACAGTGCAACCCTTTTTTCCAAATAAAATCTTACTGGGGAGCCCACTATAAAATAGATAAACTGCCATATTTGAAGCAGAATTAGGATGTTCAGTATTCCACACACTTGGCTTTACGAGAACATAGTTTTGAAAGGTAATGATATAAAATATTCAAATAATTCATATATTGTTCTCAAAGATGATTTGGAAACAGCATTTGGTAGTTTGTGTTTTACTTGATACATAAAAGTCTGTATATGACATAAAAATGCTGTTAAAAGGTTAAAAAAAATGTATATAAAAGTGGAAGTTGTTCAACTCTTAAGCATGCAGAAAGTAAAAGACTGCCACTTTTCCAGAAAGATACTTATTTTAATGTTATTTTTCATAGCAAAATGTTGGAAAGCTACTCATCTCACATTAGAAAGGTATAATAAATAGTAAATTAAAGTCATGAAAACAAAACAAATGTTCATATAAAAAACAAAGTACTGTGACAAAGTACTGTGTTCTTTAAAATTGCAAGTGAGTACAATATGTAGAAATGAAAGAATCTGCAATAAAGTGGTAGGATTTTTTCACTTTGTGACACAAACAGTTTACTAATTATCACCATTCTTAGGAAATTATAAATACAGAACAAAAGACTGATGAAAACTTGCATTTAATTTCAATAATCGTTAACCGTGCATTTTTTCTCTTCAATTTTCTCCTCTTTCACCTACTTTATTTTTTAAATAATTGTTTTAAATTTTGAGACAGTCACAAAATTTAAAAAGAGTTACAGATATAATACAAGGAACTGTTGATTCCTTGAGGCATTTGGGAATAAATTGTTAATCTGGTCTGAGTTCATTGGCCAAACTTTTAGTGCGCATTTCCTTCAAAGAAGAATATTCTTCTACACAACCAGAATACAGTGGTCAAAATCAGGAAGTTAACATTTGATGCATTACTTCCCTCCAATCCTCAGTCCCCGTTCAGGTTTTTCCAGTTGTCCCAATAATGTTTGTTCCAGCAAAGTAAGCATTATTCATAATCACATGTTCCATTTAGAAATCACATCTTCTAGTATCCTTTTATCTGAAACAGTTACAGGGTTTTTTTGACTTCGTAACCTTGACGCTTTTGAAAATTATGGGCTACTTATCTTTTAGGCCATCCCTCAATTTGAGTTTGTCTGATGTTTCCTTGTGATTAGATTCAGTGTATGTAGCTTTGACAGGGATGCCACAGAAGTAATGCTCTTTTTTTCTCATTGCATCATATCAGGGCGCACATAACTTCAATTTGTTGCATTATTGATGGTGTGCTCTTTAATCACTTGATTTGGCTGGTGTTTGCCTGGCTTCTCCACTGTAAAGTTGTGACTTACAAAGGGGGAAAGAAGAGTGTTTGGGGGAAGGTACTCTAAGGCAGTGTAAATATACTGTTCCTTATCAACTGTCAATTTATATCAGCCTATGGAATGAATGTTTCCCATTTCATTTGATGGGTTTTTATTTGTTACAGTCATTATTTTGGTTCTCAAATTGTCCTATATTTGGCCAGTGGGAGCCCCTTCCAGCTGTCTTCTGTGTCCTTTTGGCTCGTTCCCATCATTCTTTGAAAACTTCTTCGCATTCTGGTACAAAACAGCAACAGCAAAACCCCCACAAAACCAGAAAAGTTACACACTCATCTTGTGCTTTCCTTTTACTCCAGCTTTAGAGCTAGACATTTTTTAGAGCACCTGCTTCCTTTTAGTGGAGCATGATATTAAGAAACTTTTCTGCCTGCCCCTGCTTGGATTCTGACATCTCATGCCAGGCTGCCCCTCCATTGAATTACTTCCTTAGTCCATTCAGGTCCCCGTGGACCGACCTCCTCTTCACCGTGCTTAGATTATTTTTACTACATGTGGACCCCTTCTTAACTCTCCCTGGGTTCAGACAGTCCTGGCTAGGCTATTCTCCTCTGGATGCCTTTCTTACCCATCTCGTGCTCCCTAGGTTCTGACAGTCAACAGTGAGCCACCCACTCACAGATACCTTCCTTACCTTGTTTGGGCTCCGGTTTCCCTTACCAGGCAGACCTACCACATGGATGCGCTCGCTCCTTGCGTTGCTCAGGCTCTGATGCTCCATGCCAGGGTGTCTTTGTATAGGGATGCCGTCCTGCCCCACTCTGAACCACCACAGCTCCTCTCTTCCTCTGTATTTACACCTATCATATGCCATCCAAAGGCTTTAGAACTCAGTTGTTCAGGGAGGAAAAAAGAAGAGGGGGACTTCAGTGATTTTTTTAAAGTGGCCTTTAATGTTACCCTTCACACTGTCTTTTTTCCTATTGTCATTTAAAAATTAGGAAATAAAAGTTATATCCAAATTTTCTTCTTTTTTGGCCATGGTTTTGTTTTCATTTCTTCAAGTAAATTTAAGAACTTTCTTAAATATTGTGTCATTGTGATAAGAAGGCAAGACTTTTGTTTCTTGACTGATTACAATTTTAGGATGTATGCATCCAGAGAAAGTAGATATGTATATTTTTATTTAACTATATTACTTCATATTACTTTACATCAACTAATTTTAAGGATTATATAATGCTTCTGTGTAACCACAAGTTCTCATTTTGCATTGTTAAATAGAGAGCCCAAGCTGCACTGCAGGCTGTCAGTGCTGTCCAGTCAGGAAGTCTGGCCCTTCCTGGAGCTCCTGCTAATGAAGGCACAGTCCTACCTGGGCAGAGCCCTGTGCTCCGAATAATTATTGAAAACCTCTTTTATCCTGTTACCCTGGAAGTTCTTCATCAGGTAAGGAGGAACACTCTTTTGAAAGCAGAGTCAAATATGACCTCTATAACTTTGGATGTTTTATGTCTTTAGTTTTTCAGGTTGTTGATTTTGGTTAATATATTTGTTTAAATAATAGTAAAAATAAATCTTCAGCATCCTGTTTCATGCAAGAAATAGTATCAGTTAGAGATAGGTTTTTGTTTTTTCTTTTGCGGTACGCGGGCCTCTCACTGTTGTGGCCTCTCCCGTTGCGGAGCACAGGCTCCGGACGCGCAGGTCCAGCTGCCATGGCTCACGGGCCCAGCCGCTCCGTGGCACGTGGGATCTTCCCGGACCGGGACACAAACCCGTGTCCCCTACATTGACAGGTGAACTCTCAACCACTGCGCCACCAGGGAAGCCCAGAGATAGTTTTTTGAAAGCCTCCATTTTCTAACTTAAATACTTGATTTAAAAGGGTATGTAAGAATTCTATTTTTTTATACCTAAGCATGAAAATGAACAAAGCACAGACTCCTGTAAAAAGTACCAGTAGTAGTTGTTCCTCAGAAGGTAACATCAATCTATTTCTACTGAGTCCTCCCTACACTTGAGTATTTTTATTTTAAAAACTCTGAAAGGAAAATATGAGTAACTCAAATAAGGAAGTATCATGTTAAATACTGACTGATTCTCAACACAGCTTTCATAGACTACCCATTACTATGTCTAAACTGTCTTGATAAGAGGCAGTGTACCACATCATGGCCTACTGTGAAGATGTAGAATTTAAGAACTGGAAGATCGATCACCTACCTAGTTACATAATTTTGTATTGAATAAAACTGCGGCTCAGATACTTGATGAGTTGAGTATTGTAAAGAGTAATTTAAGAACCACTTAGAACTCAAGTCCCCTAATGTCCACTCCAGTATTCCATTTCATTATACTTGACAACCTAAGTATAAAAATTATTTTAAAACACTAAAACATACTATATGCTTATTTTCTTATTTATTTATTTATTTATTTATGGCTGCGTTGGGTCTTTGTTGCTGCGTGCGAGCTTTCTCTAGTTGTGGCGAGTTGGGGGATACTCTTCGTTGCAGTGCGTGGGCTTCTCTTTGCGGTGGCTTCTCTTGTTGCGGAGCACGGGCTCTAGGCATACGGGCTTCAGTAGTTGTGGCACACGGGCTTCAGTAGTTGTGACACGCGGGCTTCAGTAGTTGTGGCTTGTGGGCTTTAGAGCGCAGGCTCAGTAGTTGTGGTACACGGACTTAGTTGCTTGTTGCGGCTTGTGGGATATTCCCGGACCAGGGATCAAACCTGTGTCCCCTGCATTGGCAGGGGGAATTCTTAACTACGGTGCCAGCAGGGAAGTCCCTATTTTCATATTTATATCTCATTATTATTATTATTATTTATTTATTTTTGCGGTACGCAGGCCTCTCACTGTTGTGGCCTCTCCCGTTGCGGAGCACAGCCTCCGGACGTGCAGGCTCAGTGGCCATGGCTCACGGGCCCCGCCGCTCCGCAGCATTTGGGATCTTCCCGGACCGGGGCATGAACCCGTGTCCCCTGCATCGGCAGGCGGGCTCTCAACCACTGCGCCACCAGGGAAGCCCCCTCATTATATATTAAACAGCATGATCTCAGGCCAGTCTAGACTCATTTAACTGTTTTCCAAACCTTTGGATTTGTACTACTGAATGAAGAGTCATAGGGGGGTGTGTGTGCATGTGTATTTAAGACTTGAAATGTATCCTATCCTATTCTCACATTTTACAAATAAGGGTATGGGGACCTTAGAAGTTGTTACTTTCCCCACAGTCATTGTACCAATTGGTGATAGAACTCAGATATATTTCCTAATATGGTTCATGTGCTATGCATGTAAATATCAAAATATACCATTTATTATGCCTACTTTATTCCCTGTGATAGTTTCCTGAGTACCATTTTCTAAATATGTGCATTTGTGAAGCATGTCCTATGGAGGGTTTTAGCAGTGGTATCCGTAGCCACCGTTGTTTCCTAAAAGTGTTCAGCAGTTACTTAAGTGATTGGTTTCTTTGTTCTGGTGGATTTTCTTTTCTACCGTTTATCCCGCAAAGTGGCATTGGACCCTCTGTGATCCATCAGCATTTTTTGTTTGCTTTTGCTACTGTGGCACTGTTAGCTACTGCTAACTTCTACTGCTTTACAGAAGATGTTATTGCACCTGTGGCTCAACATTGCCATCAGTCAGCAGTGAATTTAGTCAAGGTTGTGTGGTCCTGTCTTGTTATTCCATTTGTCATTTCCCTCAGACCAGTAACAAACCTTGTTTCTTTCCCAAAAGATCATGGGTCCTTCAGGTGAAGAGAGGTAATTGAGAGTCTTCAATAGTAACCATTGGGATAGGACTCTCAGAGTTATGGCACTCTCCTGTTTAACCCTTCTTCACATTGCTGTTGGAAAACACCAGAACTTCTTAGCAAGGCACTTAAGTCCCCATATGCAGACTTCTCCCCATCTCTTGAAGCTCACTTCCTAATTCTTCTGCTTATTTAGCACCCTAGCTTTTCTGGCCCTTTGACCCTCTCCCCCTCCTCCCCTCTTATTTCTGTCCTTGTCCATTTCTGTCTTCTATTTCTTAGGCCTGGAACACTCTTTAGGGAGATAGCCCCTTAGCTGAATCTACATCATTCCATTTGCAGCTCAAATTCACCTCCTCAGAGAGTCTTTCTCTAATTACATTAATTTAGCCCTCTCCCCGTGACACTCTATTCCATTAGCCAACTAAAATGTAGTATAGCATAATGATTAAGGATACAGTATCTGGAGCTGGTTTGAATCCTAGCTCTACCACTTACTACCTCTATAACCTTGGACAAGTAACTTACTCCCTCTATGTCTTTTTCTTATTTATATAATGGGGATGAAGATGGTATCTGTTTTATACCTTCATTGTGTGGATCACATGGGTTAATGCACTTAGAACAGTACCTGTTACATAGTAAGTGCTCAAGAAATGTTAGCTGTACTTATCAGATGCTAGTAAATTGCATTGTAAGAAACTGATCCTTGCTCTTGTGGTCTTGTGGATAAGGTGTAATTTCATAAGTAATAGCATAAAATGTGATAAATATTGTGATTGGAAAATACATGGAAGTGTGGAGTTGGTTGCACATGTTATAATTAATTAGTAAGTAGAGTTGACATTAGCTAAACTGCTCTCTAACATCTATGGAAGCTAGTGTTTTTCCTTTAGCTCATGGTGAGGGGATTAATAATGACTGAGATGGGAGTGGTGCTATTTCAAATGAGGTAGGTTAGGGGAAGTGTTTACAGTATGATGACATTTGAACAGAAGCTTGAAGGATGTGAGGGTGTAAGTTATGTGTATATATGGTAGAACAATGATCCAGTCAGAAAGAACAGCAAGTGCAAAGTCCCTAAAATGGAAGTGTGCTTAATGTGTTCAGATATCAGAAAAAAGACTATATCATTGGAGTGTAAAAAATAGGGAAGCCATAAATGATAGGCTCAGAGAAGGTGTAAAGACTAGATGATGCAAAGCCTTTATAATCTTTACACTGAGTAAAATAGGAAGCCATGGAGGATTTTGAGTAGAGGAGGGAGATGATAGGTTTAATGTTCTTGTTGCTATGTTAAGAATAAACTGTAGGCATAAGTGGAGGCTCTTATCATAGTCCAGATGAGAGATGGTGGTGACCCAGGTGGGGACGTGAGCACTGTACATGGTGATTGCGTATATATTTGGAATGATTTGCTGATGGGTTTAGTAGATGTGGGTTATGGAGAGAAAGAGAGTAATCAAGAATGCCTTCTAGATTGTGGATGTGAGCCTCTGGTAAAATAGAGCTATCTTATACTAAGATAGTAAAGACTGAGGGCGAAAAAGATTTAGGGCAGGGGTGGGAGGAAGGGGAGGAATCAAGAGTGTGTTTTGGACATGTTAAATTTGAGATACCTGTTAGACAGCCAAGTGGGAGATGTTGAAGAGACAGTTGGGAAATAAGTCTGGATTGGGCATAAGAATTCACGCTGGAGAATTGGTAATCATTTGCATATGAGTGGTAATTAAGGCCATTGGATTGGATGGCATCACTTAGAGAGTATTTGTAGATAAAGAAGGCATTCATCAACTGTTCCATTACATAAACTCAACCCTGCATTCTAAAAAATTTCTTTGTGTACTGAAGGAGTAGGTGAAAACAGTATTTTTGTGGAATCAATTACTTCCAAGTACTGTTATATAAGGGGTTATTTTATGAATGTCCAAAAGATGAATCTCTTCAGGATGAAGGACTTATCTTTTTGAATTGCAAAATAAAGGTAAATAGCTTGCAAAAAACAATTATTATGGTATCAAATAAAAGAATCACTAGTAATACAAAATTCTAATTCTTAAATCTTGCTGTTTTGTTGGCTACAAAAACTATTATAAACAAATTGTGGCCAATGTGCTTGCTATTTTAAAAAGTTCTAATACAAATAATGCTTTTTACAAGTGAATACTGGTGAACAGTTTCTGGCAAGCCCTCTTTATAAACATCACCCTGAAGATTAATTTTATCAGAATTTGATCTTTAGTATTTTATTAGTCCCATTTTAAAGTCTGAAAAGATTAAAATGCACAAGAAATGTCAAGAGTTGAGTCTATGTGTTTCTTATGTTTATGACAGCAAAGTAAATATATTAGGAAATAGTCAAAGACCTTGCAATCTATAAAAATATATATTAAACTTTCCTAAACATTGATCTTTTGAGACCAAATCTATATAAAACTGAGTATTTTGATAATTATAAAAAGTTGTTAAAAACCACACTTCAGGCATTCC